GGATTTTCCAACCTTAATATCCAATGACGTGTTTGTCATATCCTTCTTAACAGATTTATCCAAACCTTATATTCCTTCCCAACAGGGTCAGAGCGCGTGTCCAGGTACGGGACACGAATGAGCAGGCCTCCCCGTGGTCCCCGTGGGCGTGGCTAGGGTGCAGGAGGCGGCGGCTGGGCGCGTCCATCAAAACCAGGTGGGTAGCGTGTCCTGTTCGCTTCTCCGGGTGTGCAAAGGGGTGGTTGCACCGGTCATGGCTAAACTGCTCATCCTGCGTGCGAACCCGCAGGCGCTGCTGGATTTTTCTATCGCCCGGCCTTTGGGGTTTCGTTGGACAGTAGAGAGTATTGTGGCGTATAGCGTTTCTACGCTCAGGCAGCATGGGTTTTGTTCCTCTCGCGGCTCAACACCCTCACAGTGAATGTCACAGAAGGAGGAGATGGCCCTCCATTTTATCCCTCTCCCTCCAGCATAGTTCTCACTAATGCTGGAAGGGACGAGGTCCCCCGCCAACCACAGCGGTCAGGACCCGGCGTTCCTCCTTCCAAGCTTCACACTCCTCGAGAGTGTGTCGCGCCGAGTCCAAACCGGCCGCGCAGTGGTGGCACCTGGTCGTATACTCCTTATCGATCCTGCACAGGTAGTCACCGAAGCAACCGTGCCCGGTGAGTACCTGTGTCAGGTGGAACCCGATTCCGCGTCCCCTCCTGTCCGCCCATTCGGGAAGACAGGGTTGGATGGCCTGGGTGGTCCATCTGCCCGCCTTGGAGCCAATTAAGAAGGCCTGCCACACCTCCATGGCTCCCTGGCGGGCATCTCTCCTGAGCCTAGCCACGACTCTTGGTAATAGGCGGGCGCTCCCGGGCCGGTCTGGGTCCCTCGTACGCCGATAAAATTCAGCGTACGAGTTCGCCAGGAACTCGGCCGGGAGGAGGCCTGCCAGAGCCGTGGCCGCCGCGAACGACGCCGTGCAGTAGGCCCGGATCAGCCTGATGGCCAGCCGGCGCTGTTGACGATGTAACATCGCCTGTATGCGCCGACTGGCCGCGACCCTGTCGGCCCAC